GTGGAAAGAAGGGCAATTAGAGGGCCAGATAAGACTAAAATATGTTATATGATGTATCAAATTATGAGATCATATTTATGTTTTTAAAAGAACAGTATTTGCTGGGAGTGGTGGCACACGCCTGTAATCCCAGCATTTGGGAGGCTGGGGCAGGGGAATCATTTGCAAGTTTGAGACCAGCCCAGACTACAAAGTGAGTCCAAGGCCAGCCTGAACTGCATAGCAAAACCCTGTCTCAAAAAGACCAAAAAAAAAAAAAAAAAGTACAGTATTAATCAATGGTAGGAAATGAAATTTTGCAGATAAAAATAAATATTCGAGGCTGAGGTTTTGTCACTTGTGGCCTTAAAATGATGAAAGTCTAAACCATACCAATAACAACAAGGTTGACTGAATTCAGACATAAACTAAAGTGGAAACTAACTGAATTTGGAGAGAAAGGAGGTGCTTCAAATGAAATCTGTGTACGTGTAAGTAGGGAAAAGGGAGGGACAAATTCTACTGGAGTGTGCCACAGGTGAGCTTCATGGAGAAGCTACTTTAGTCTCCAGAAATGTGTGGTGCAGAGTGGCAATGAGGAGAGGTGGGGCATGAAAGAGCAGAAGAGCACAGGTAGGGTGCATGCATGAGCATGGCAGGTTAGTGACCTGATCTACATATAAACTACTTAAATGATGAATTTTAAGCTGATGTACTTATTGGGTGATACATACGGTCGTTTTGGAAGTGGACATATTTTGCACATGGGAAGGATGTGAATTGTTGAGAGTAAGATAGAAAAATGAAATTCAACCTTTCCTTTTTCCTTTTGAAGGCCAGCGAGGGATCAGGATCATCATCTGATGAACTGCCATCACAGTAATGGTTGATTCATTGTGTCAACTTGAGAAGTTTAGAAGTTTAAGGGAGGGGGGAGTCTGCTTACAATATAAGGAAGGAAAGAAAGCTCGTTTCCCCCTTTTTTCCTCTTGTTGCCTTTACTATCTTCTGCCACATTGAAATGTTGCCCCTTGGAGCCAGCTTATTATGGACTGAAAACTGTGAGCTAAATAAATCTTTTCTTTCTTAATTTTGGGTGTCAGGTATTTTGTCTCAGCAACCAAGACAATATCCCTTTCTCTCATCTCCCCAGGACAGCTGGAGTGACTTGCCTTTCTGCAGCCTTGACAAGAGCTACAGTGTGGCTGACAGTCTTGACGCACAACTCCCTCCCCACAGCTCTGGACCACTCCTGCTGCCTCTCTGAGGAGATATGGAGGATCACACCTGACAAAGCAAAGATCAACGAGTAACTGGGGACCACTGTTGGTGTCTCCAAGTCCCCAAATCCCAATGAGCCATGATCAGCACTCCAAGCCCTCCTAGAGAGTCTTCAAAAGCAGAAGATGCAATTAGAGCTCCTGCCATTTTTACAGAAACTGTCAGTGGAGCCTGCTTCTCCCACAACTCAGCAAAGCTATTACCATCACAGATGAGCCTGTCCTGTATGCCCCATGGCTGCTCTGGGAGATATTTGCCTTCACTCCAGCAAGCCTGAAACAGAGACCTACTCCAGATGACTGTGCCCTACAGCTGCTCTGGATGACAGCCATGCAGTCTGATGGTCCTACTCCCTTCAGTCATTACTTCAGAAGTCCCCAAATAAGTGTGCAAAATATGAAGAGTTTCACATGCATGACCCACTATTCTCTACATATGCCGGATTCTCACACACTCCTAGGATAAGTCCCAGAGGACCCTGTCCTATGCACTTCCTCACTGTGCTGTAGTCTCAATAAAAGCCTCATTCCAGTGATTCTATTGCCTACTAAAGATTCTTATCTTGGGTAGAGCAGGCTAAGCAGGATACTAACATTAAAGTCTATTACCCTTGAAGAGCTCCAGAGAGTGGTGGAAGAAAGAATTAAGAGCAGTGGAGACTGGTGGAGACCAGTAGTGATGTGCAGATTTGCAATGACCTACAGAGAGCCTCAGAGGGTCACTGAAAGCTACTGGAAGAGTTTCAGAAAGCTACCAAAGGGGCTATGAGCCCAGAGTATGGAGGAGCTAAAGATGTCTGGAAGCCCCCAGGAGTTGTAATGCTAAGAGCCAAGGAGGCACAGACATTCAAATCTCAGAGCTATAATACTATGGGCTGAGGTCTGGCACACTCTCGGCCCCAGTGGAGATCACATGAAGCCAAAGAACTTCCTTGTTAACTCAGAAAATCTAGAGAAATAAATCATTGTTGTTCTAAGCCACTAAATTTTGGGGTAACATGTTATACAATACAAAAGTGAAACACAACTTTGCTGAATTTCAGCTTTTAACATGGGACTGATGCTACAAAATTGTGACTACTATGTAAGGCTAATTCTAATCCCTGTGCTCAAGAAACACTAGTTGAATAATTAGTATTACAAACTGTCCAGGATATCCTTGACATAACCTCCAGGTATGCCCTCTAGCAAATCTTACTCTCATAACCATCAATTATGTCCAATCACATGGTTACCCAAGACAAATAGAAGTGCTCAGTTTTGTTTTTGTGGCTACAATATCTGAAAAATGAACTCTGTGTCATAAATGATGACCAAAAAAGGTTCTGCCATCTTCTTCACCTACCAATTCATGCACTTTAGTAAGCCCTTAGTAATTATCAGACATCATTATGAAAGGTTGAAGGAAATCCTCCTTTTAAAAAAAGAAATCATTCCCACCTGGGTAACCATTAACAGAAAGTATTATAAACTTACACTTTAGCAGGGAAAAGTCTGTAGCACATGAACTTAAAATCATCCTTCTAAAGAGAAAAAATTTAAATTTCTAAACAGAGCTCAAACACACTGAATGAGAATACATGATTCTGACTGGAGATCCCCAAATAACCCCAAGAGCAAGGAATAAAGTTGTTTCCCCAAAGGGTTCATTCCTTAGTGAGCCTACACCCCTAAAGGGACCTAATCACAAAATCTGGACCCCCCAGATGAGAGAAAAATTTGCCATCTGATATCACCTTCTATGTGTGGATGCAGAATGGGATCAGACATTTATTTATTTACTTATTTATTTTTCTCTTTTTGAGACAGGGTCTCACTATGCAGTTTAGGCTGGCCTTGAGTCCACTTTGTAGTCCAGGCTCAAACTTGCAATGTTCTCTTGCTTTGGCCTCCCAAGTGCTGAGATTACAGGCATGAACCACCACGCCTGGCTCTGGACCAGACATTTAATAACTCACAAACTAATGACAGAGAAAATCCTGGGTATATCTGAGGGAAAGAATGCTGAACAGCTTTCAACTGCCTTTGTGAAATCAATCATTTTGTTGAAGGCTTGGTTACTGATGTGCTTTAGGGAAGTGACTGGATTATGAATGCTAACCCTATGAATGAGTTAAGCCATGAAAGAACATAGTTGAATGGGCTACTGAGAGGTGTAGCCTAGGTGAAGGGAGTGGGTTATGGTAATGTGACCTCAGGTATAGTGATATCTTGGTACTCAACTGATTCTGGGAATCATGAGTACAGACAACAGCAAGTACTACACAAACTGTTTTGGCTGGAGAAGGCAGCAAGTCACAGGCAATTGACACACATTCTAGTTTGTGCATCAGAGAGCAAATAAACGAGGAGTAATGGGGAAAATTTCTATGTCAAAATGCACTGATTACCAAACATTGTGTTTCAAAACAACTAACTACTATATCTTTTGCCTGGCCAGTTCCTCCCTCTCTCTGTTGCTCTTTGCTTCCTGGCTGCCATGAGGTGAGCTGCTTTCCCCTGCCATTTTATCACTATGATGTTTCTGCCTCATCATGGGCCTAAAAACAGTGGAGTCAGCCAACCAGGGACAGAAACCTCTGAAACTTTGAGTTAAAATAAACCCTTCTGCCTTTAAATTGATTTTCTCAGGCATTTGGTCATAGCAATGAAACACTAATAACGCAAACCATCAGAATTCTAATCTGGTATGTGCTGCTTCTAGTTAAGTAACCTTGTGTTAATCATTATTCCTTAGTTACTTCACTGTAAAATGAGAATAAGCTCAGAGGATTGTTGTAAGGATTAAATGCATATGTATATAAGGTTCTTACTAGATGATTAGCAAAAAAATAGGCACTCAATGTATCAGCCATTTTAAAAAGCAGAGAGCAGTTACTATCCAAACTCAAGGGTTACAAAATAGTCACTAAGAGGGGCTGGGGATTTCAGTGGCATAAGCACCCGCCTTGCAAGCAGGCAGTCATGAGTTCGATCCCTGGTACCGATAAAAAGGAAAAAGACAAAACAAACAAACAAACAAACAAACAAAAACCACAAAATAGTCACTAAGACATCTAGCACAGTGCTTCTCGAGATATTTTATTTTTAATCCTTCACTTTTTGTAAAAGGCAAGATTACATGCTTGAACATCACAGAAATGTCAAACTGCTCTATAAGTTTCTAAATGTTTATGCTTACTTTCTATACTTTTCATCATCCAGCAACAGGCAATTTGTAGACTGGCATTTTTCTCAAGACTGAACTCTAAGTAGCACTGCTCTAGCACACAAGAAAGACTCAGGAGATGACTAAAAACTCAAGTAGCAGGTTAAATTATGAAAACATTTAGTAAAGAAAACCAGCCCCAATAACAGGGCAAGAGGATGACTTGAGGGTCAACAAGTTGACAGTTAAAATAACCCCAACAAGTGAAAGGTGAAATGTAAAACTGGTTGCTGAATCAGGGCAGTATTCCAACCCCTGCCCAATGCTACAGGGGGTGACCCCCTGCGAACCTGTTGGCCAGGAAGTCATCAATCCCAGAGATGGCAGGATGAAAGAAGTCAGCAGAACTGACTTGGGTCTCTTAGTGGTAAGCCACCTGCAGCCATCACCATTAATATTAACCACAAGCCAAACAGTTTCTTCTCTGCCAAAGAAACCATATAAACATTTTCTTTGGTGACACAGGGCTATACACACACACACACACACACACACACACACACACACTCTTCTACATATTCACAGATACTCACCTGTGGTCTTAGGAGGCTCCTGAGGTCCACCTTGCCAGCCATACTGTGGATATCCTTGGTAGGGGTACCCCTGAGGAGGTGGGTAGGGTCCCCCCACAGGCCCCATTGCTGGTTGTGGATAAGGAGGGTATGGGGCTGTTGGGCCTGGGCCCGGATATGGTGGAGGATGCTCTGGGTTCATCACGGACCTGCAAAGGGCATACACAAGAGACAAAAGGAATGAAAATTATTTGCATTTTTTTTTTTTTTTTGGTCTTTTTCCTTTTTACCGGTACCGGGGATCGAACTCACGACTGCCTGCTTTCAAGGCAGGCGCTTATGCCGCTGAGCTAAACCCCCAGCCCCCAAATTATTTGCATTTAACATGTTCACTATCGGGCCATACATGTAAGACTGTCCCACTGAGTGGCTAGCACCATTGGCGATACATGCCTAAGTAGCCCACTGTGCAGCCTGTACCACGCAACTGAATTGTCCCATAGCACCTAATACAACAGTCTTGCATGTATCAATGATGGTTCAAACTGGTGGGAATATGATAACTTATGGAAATCATTAGCAAAAAGATTTCCAACCCATGAGATCATTTACAAAATACCAGTGTTGGGGGAAGAAATAAGTTACATCATGTACAGGTACAACTTTTCTATGAATGTGATCATTTAAAAATATGCCTTCAATGTGTCTTAAGAGTTCTGTAATCTCCAGCTCTGTTCATTTTGTTTTTTTCTCATCACTACAACTGGCAATTATTTTATGCATCGGCTTACTTGCCTGTTACCTGTCTCTTCTACTAAACAGTCTGAATCACCATCCTATCCCTAGAGCCTTGCATTGTGTCTGCACCAAGGCAGGTCCATGAGTAGACATGCTGAATGAAAAACAAGATATTTTGTTTTTTAAATTCCCTGAAATTCCATAAATATGAATGGAGAGCTTTAAGGTGACAGTCTAATAGTACTATGAATCTGATCAGTCAAAATTGACCCAGCATTAGAAACCCTCCAGTAAACTGAGATGGGTCACAGACAGAGGACTACACACGTGTACACCTACATTTTCACAGACACCCACTTGTGACCAATCAAATCTGTATCCACTGCTTTGGGAACCAGGGTGATCCAGTTGCTCTCCCTAGATCTACTTCTCTGAGCAGCTGGGCAAATCTCCCTCTGGAGAATGCTAAGTGTCTCCTCCAACCATCCAGGCTTCCAGGACTCTGCAGGGCTCAGTGGAAACCCTCACTTGTGTTTACAGTGGGTCCAGTCCTCATCAGCTTGCTTCTGTGAGAAGGCAATGCTTTCCAGTCCCTGCCTGTTAACCATTCTCTTGACTGGCCTTGAAGATGAGGGCCAACATTTTGTTTCCACCACTTGTCTCATCTCCACAGTGACTGCTAGATTAAAAACAAACAAATAATCCTGGGGAATATAAAATATACACTCTACATACGATTCACTCAACATGATGTCTGTCATACTGCTGCCATAAATGTGTCTTCATATGTAACATTTTACCAATTTAAATGTCTTCTATCACCAGCTAAATAGTAAAAGTCTCACACTCATTTAATTTCACTATTCTTTTCACAGCACACAATCAATAAATTACTAAGTGAATTCATATGAAAGAATAGTCATAAAGTGAAAATTAATTGTGGAATTTGTTGAATACCCACAGAATATCCATATCTTCCCTTCCTAACAGCAGTCAGATTTCCAGGTAGGTATGCATTCATTCTTCCTGGGCTCACATGCTTCATCACACTCCAGCTCTAGAGCAAACCATGTTTGTATCAACCAATCCAGGTCACAATCTCTCCTTTTCCATTATGACTAATTCAAGGAAAAAGGACTCAGCCAAACATGAGCAGCATCCCCTGACCACTAGGATTGATTCTGAAATGGTTCAATCAGTAAAAAAACTCTAACACTATCTTCCTTTCTTCTTAAAACAGGTACATACAAAGTCTAGAAAGACATGGTCCACAAAATTCCTGACAATTAATCTATAGTCCTTTCAGCCTTAAGATGAAATGAACACTTCAGAAAGGCACAGTAGAAAAAAGCAAAGAAATGGGATTCCAGATCATTTTTAACTGCTCATAAATCAAAGATTGAAGTCCGGTCTGACCCAATCTACTTCTATAAAGTTTCCCAGTTGTGGGAACCAATGGCAAGGTAAGTAATGAGCCCTTATGACTAACACTTAATCGAACTTGCACTTACGTAGTACTGACTCAGTGTCCTGACATTAGGCTACATAGTGGGGATAAGGTATCAATATGGCTCAAATCCTTCCCTTGAGCAAGTGGTTGGGAAGATAACCAAAAGGACTATGATTTTTAGAAAAGGAGGTGAATTGACTGCTGGGATAAGGCCTTAAAAACAGTAAGAGACAATGGGGTGAAGAGAATCCCTTGAAGGAAGAAATTAAAAGTTTGTATTATGGAATCAGGCTAGTTTTAGAGTCTCTCTTTTTACCATAGATGCATTCTGGCCCCCATTTTCAAGACTCTTTATCTTTAAAAGGGACTCAAAAAAGAAATAAGAGGTCTTTTCCTTCTCTGATCTCTACAATGCACCAACACAGCACCACACCGCGATCAAGGAAGCCTTTTCCCTTTTCCTAATCAAAGTTTCACGGTGACTAATACTATCATCAGCTGAATCGGCATAGGTAAATGTTAGCCATATCTGCATTTTATTTCTTCTGTCCTCTATAGAAACACCTAGTGAGCCCTGATTAACACAGGTATCAGTCTCATTAACCTTCCATCTGACCATTTCATTATTTACTTTTAAATCACAGAAATAAAGTTCAGCCCTCGTAACTACTATGTCATGAAAATTATGTTGGCGACCTAATTTCATTAAAAATGTAGTTTAACTTGTTTAGTTTAACAAAACTTTGTAGTAATGATCATTCTCATTCTGCACAAAGTCTGGACCTACATTTCTCTAAAGACAATGTTCTAAGAACAGCAAGCAGCGAGTAGAAAAAACAATGAAAGGTTTAAAATTAGGACTTCAGGTCTCCATGTTTCACAACTTTTTTTTTTCTTTTCTTGAGGCAAGGACTCGGTATGTAACCTAGCCTGGGTTTGAACTCCTGATCCTCCTGTCTCACCTTCCTGATTACTGGGATTATAAGGTATGCCAACACACTGAGCTGCCTAACTTTTCTTGATCCACATGTTTGCATCTATTTCTTACTATTCTGAGTGGTTCTCTCCCTGAAGGCCCCAAAATCTCTTTCAAGAGTGTATATCCTTCTCTTCAATCACACCTCCCCCTTATTTTTATTAGGTGCTTTTTCCCCTGTGTCTGAGGACTTGAGAAACATCTAGAGGAAAGGCCTCATCCACTGTTCACAGTGACACTAATAAAAAGGATAAACCCCAAAGGTGCTCCAGCCACCATGACCCCCTCTCACATATATGCCTTTCTTGCATTCCCAAAACTGTCATCTCAGAGGAATAAAGACTTGGTTCTATTTTCAGTTTCTTCTAAGCAGGAAAAAGTCCTAGAAAATGAACAGCAAAAGTCACAGAAAAAGGCATCTGAGCTGGATCAAAGATCTTAGGCTAGTATTTGAAAAGCAGAACCTCACCCAGTGTGAATCAATTATTCCCTAGCTAGTAAAGAGGCAAATCAAAGTATGAAAGAATCCTTAACACTGATGCAGTATAGTGCAAACTACATAACAAAACCAAAATACAAAAAAGTTTTAAATTTAAGATATGATACTGAACTTTGTAACATGAGCATTTTCCCTTATAAATTAGGTCAGGTAAAAAGCAAACCCTACTATACTGGAGCATTACATCAAGGATCAAATATAAACAGTGGAGAATGTAGCATTAAAGACAAATCAAAGCTTTGAAAGGAACAGCTCAAATATCACAGCAGCCAAAAGTCATTAATAGATTACTGAACAGTGCTATCCCACGATTCCATTCAAGACATAGTCAAAGTCACAGGATTAGCAGTCATTCAACCACACAATGAGAAACAGAATCAATTCTTTGTGAAATCGGTTCATGGAGATAGGACACTATTGAAGTCCTCATTGGAACAGAGATCCAGGAAATAAAAAATAACTTGGAAAAACTGTTAAATTACAATCTACCTAGTAGAGTGGCATTGATTCTGATGGCAATAAAATGGAAATTTTCCTGTGGAAAAATAAAATTTCAGAAACTTACTTCTATTAATGCTTGGGAGAATACCAAAGAAATGATTCATCCAATTACCCAAAGTAAAGCCACTGTGTGCAGAATTTCTAATTAACATTTTATTGCTTCATACATTAATGAATAACAATCATCAGACATAGGAGGAAAGCCTCCAACAAAAAAGACCAAAATAAAACAGGAAAAAAAATCCTACATGTCCAGTTGGTGTGTGCTGTGCTGCACGCCTATAATGCTACCACTCGGGAGGCTAAGGTAGGAGGACTGCCACAAGTTTGGGGCCAGCAGAATCAGAGTGAGCTCAAATAGCTGTCTCTATCACAGTGAGCTCAAATAGCTGTCTCTTTCAACTTACTCTTTTACTCACACAGTGAATTCAATGCTAGCCTGAACTGCACAGCTAGACCATATATAAAAAATAAATAAATAAAATTAAAAAATAAAATAACACATGTACAAAAAGTTTTTAAAAACTTAAAATTATGGTGTTATGGTAACATGCATTTAATAGCTGATGGATTTTTTTGCATACAACTTGTGTGTATGTAGCTAGGCATTAAACCCAAGACCTCATGCCATAACAAATGGTCTACCACTGAGCTATGCTCCCAGCTCTTGTTTTAAATGTATGCTTTGAAGTACAATATAATATTATGCAAGAAAACTTTGAAAGCAGTGAGGTTCAACACCACCTGTAATTCCAGCTACTAGGGAGGCTGAGGAAGCAGGACTGCAAGTTTGAGGCCAGCCTGAGCAATTTAGCAAGATCTTGCCTCAAAAATCAACCAACAACAAAACCAACACGCACACACAGCACATTAAAAAGTGGTTGGTGTGGGGGAGGCACGGGCTAGAGATGTAACACATTATGAGGCCCAAGGTTCAATCTTCAGTATCACTGAACAAATTTTAGAGCTATATGGTCAGCCTGATCCAAACTTCCTTTAATACAAATACTGATAAACAGATTAATATAACAGAAAGAAGAGTCCT